GAAAGAAAGAAAGAAAGAAAGAAAGACCAACCCTAAATTTTCCCACGCAACTCTGCATAGTTAAAAATGAGTTTCATCCGCTCCTCCCATGAAACGGGTCACATTGTCCAATTAGGAATCAGCCTGTTGTTTTAATAACAGTCCATATCTCGACAGACACCTACAGATGTGTCCTTGGATCTCATGGTTGAAGATCGTAACCTATGAATTCCATCTCACCCTTCCCTTCCCCCAATTCATTGGCAAGCTGAAAAGCAATAATAAACACAGGAAGCTTAAGTGCTTTTCTGTCTTGACAATTTCCCTGTTGAGAACAATCTTTCCTGATTCCTGCTCTGGAACTGGAATGCTAACATGATGTCTTTGGGGTATGTCCTTAGCAAAAGCTGCCAGTGCTGAAATTAACAAGAGTTTATTTTCCCTTTATCTTCTTAAAAGGCTCAGTGGGCAACTCATGTGCCAAGCAACTGAGGAATTCCCCCCCCACACACACTTTTCTTTCTTTTCCTTTGTATCAGATAGTTCTGTAGGGATTATCATTACTGCAGGACTCGTGTAACAGTAATTTTAACTCCTTGTTCAGCATTTTGATGGCAGATGCTAGGATGATGCGTGCATAAGTGCACCAAGGTGCCTACCGTCCCTGTCCTATTGTTTCTTTTATTTTTCTTATATGTACCCATTTCGTGTATTCATAACTATGTATACACTTATACTTATTATCTTGTAAACAATTGACAAATCAAATAAATAAATAAAATAAATGATCATGGATCACTTTTGGATGACTTCTGAAGTTTTGAAGTGAAAATGATGGTGACTTCACTTTTGCATCTGTTTGTGACTAATAATAAAAAATAAACCAAATTAATTTAGATTTCATCTTTACTTACTGAAATAGCCCAAGGAAGAGAGGGAGGGAGAGGAGAAGGAGATTTATGTAAACTTATTTCAATTAACCTTTGTTTGAAACTTACCATGTGTATGAAGTTTTAAACAGACAGTTCAAATCTAATCAAAGACATATATGTGAGATTGAATTATGTCTAAAACTATATCCATTGCACCTCTAATTTCCACTGTTTCATTGCCTCTTCTTTGATCTGGAAATAGCTTTTTTGAAACTTCATTGTTGTCTTTTCCTGTTTCAAGTTATTTAATAACATTAGTAAACTTAGCAAGAAATTTACTTATCCCTGGTCCCAAAACATTATGAAAAAGTCAAAAGGTATAACAATCTATATAAAGTTTTGTAAAATATTTCATTTCTTTCTCTTTCTCAGTTTCTTTTAGCACTTTACTATCTCTTTACTAATGAATTAATAAAGTATTTAAATAAAGCAAGGAAACCAGACACCAGATGTCACTAATCATGACACGTATTACTACAATACAATCCTGTAAAATTGGATAATATTTACTGGCAGAAAATATCTCTGAATAAAGTCTAGTATTACATTTATTTGCTCTAGTTTTTCATGTTATAAAAGTGTATCATATCTTGATCTATACAATTTAATATTGCAGTAGTTAGCCCTATGTTTTTTCTCCTTTTCTGTATGCTTCTCTCTCTACAGATCCTCAGTCTTATTTGCAGACACAAATTATCTACAATTTCCCATATAATCAGGAAAGTAGATATAATTTGTAAAATAAACAGAATACCTACATACTAAATATTACAAGTGCATTTTTATTACATACTAAATATTACGTACTAAATATTGCAAATGCATAACAAATCTGCATTTGTTATGCTTAGCATATGTGATACCTGCTCTTCATTTTAAGAGAGGAGAAATTGGACCTCTGCTTATGTTGCATACTATTCTGTAACGAGGAGAGATCTCTCATTGTTTAATTGGAAAGTGCATTTTATCTTTCAATAATATTTTTTCTTGAGTGCTGTTTAAGTAGAACTTGAGACTTTCAAGAAGAGATTGGACTGCCATTTGTCAGAAATGGTGTGGGTCTCCCGCTTGGGCAGAGGGTTGGACTAGATGTCCTATAAGGTCCCTTCCAACTCTGATCATCTGTTGAGAAAAATCTGTTAGAAAGACAAGGTATATGTCATGTTCCCATTGGAGCCTGAATCTGCAGAGGAAGATGAGCCAGAGCTGGAGCTGAGGGAGACCGAGGAGGTGGCTTCGTTGGCTTCAGAGGAATGTAGGGAGGAGGCCAGGTGGGGCCCCCAGGAGTGGGATGACTTGCTAGCAGGAAGGAATGGGACCAAGATGACCAACAGAGGGCACACAGTGGAAATGAGGAGTGAAGGAGTTCAGGCGATGAGCAAGAACTACCCCCTCCTGATCCCTGAACAAGGAGAGTGGAGAGGACGTGGGAACAGCACAGGCCAGCCCAATGACTTGGGAGGGGAGTGCCCCGCCCCACTTCACAAGGCACACCTGTGGATTGAGACTTAAGGAGACACTGTGGGGAGGGACATTTATTGGGAATAAATGCTGAATTCATTGAGTTTTTAGTGTGCTGTTTCCAACATTTGGAGTTTCCTGGACTTCTTGCGTTATTTCTTGCTTCCTGGATTAGTTGCCTTGTTCCTTTGCTTCCTGGACACTCCCTTGCCCTGCTGCATTTCTTACTTTGCAGCCATTGTGCTCAGAGCATTTTGCTGCACTATTTGCAGCCAGAGGCGTGTGTGTGTGAGAGAGAGATCACTTTGCTCTGAGACTTGCCATAATTGGGAACGTTTGGGGGAAAGTTGGTGCAATAAAGGATTGGTGATTTGAACTATCAGCTGACTGTGTCGCCTCTGTGCCTTGACCCAGGTCATCACAGTATAATCAAATAAATTTAAAACATTTATTTATTGATTGATTGATTGAATGAATTTATATTGCTGCCTATTCGCACATGGCGACTCAAGGTGGCTTACAGAATATAAAACTAATAAAACTAATAAAAGAAGTGTCATATAATAAATTAACATAATTACTATCAACTATTTTGGAAATACAAAGAGTATACCAATTCTGTTTATTCCTATACCACATTCTGCATATACTGACTGCAATCTTCTAGAAATATATAATATATTATTATGTCTTATTTATCCAAAGGTCAAGGTGGGGAATTTTGTGTACGAAGTTCCTAATGAAAAGAACTATTCATTCTTCTACATTCTTTTGTTAATCCCGATAGTAATTGTGGGTAAGTGATTGCATACTTATCTTTACCCATTAATTTATTACAAAACAGTGGCTGCAAAGGATAGACAATGAAAATAAAATAAATGAAAATAAACCAAGTCATTTGATACAGCTCAAAGCTCTGCCAGTCACCAAAACCATCAGCTAAACCCACTCAGAGTCATCAGAGAGCACTTTACCTATAATCATCTCACAGCTCAGGAAGTTCTGCTTATACTGCATCTGACTAATGATCCATCCTATTCTTTTCTCTCCCTTGCTATACACAAAATCTTTCCAAGGCCTCAGACTGAATTGCCTAAATTCTTCAGTTCCATCAACATAATGAACCCTATAGATTTTCCTTCCTAGGCAGAGGGCTCCAAATTTTGTCAAGATTTGTGACAGTGTGAGGTGACAAAAAGGAAGGCATTTGAGGAAGGAGAACCCTACTTCCAAAATTCCAGAGGTTGCTTCGGCCTTCTACTACTAACTGTAGTTCTATTATTATTTTTAGGGTTGTTTGTAGCCTGCAGTTACTTTTAATGAATTGATTTAAATGTATTGAATGTCATTTTAAACTTGGCCACTTGGCACCAGTTTTCTGATATTTTTGTCCTTTTAAAACAAATTAAAAATATGTATGTATTAGGACAGATGGCATGTTAACACCTCTGTTAGCTTGATGTTATTTTTTTAGTTGCAGTTTTTGTCACCCAGCGAAAGTCCAAACAATTAAATCGAAAATTGAGTGAACATTTGGAGCTGTTGGAATGTGAACTTCGTAAAGAAATACGGGAAGGTAAATTTATATCAGCAGAATGCACGTGAATGAATTGATGCGTGGATGTAAAAGTCCCCAGAATTGTTGCATTGTTTTTATGCAATTATTTTACCATTGTATCCAATACAGAAATCTAGTTTGTAACTACATTACTACACTACATGACAGAGTTTTTCCTCAAAAATCCTTTAATATTCTTTATAAAACCCTTTGTAAAATTGTCTTGTTGTCTTTACTATTGCAAAGCTTCAATGCTCGTTTTAGCCAATCTTCCCTTGTTTGTAGGAAACAAGAACTATATATATATATACAAATAAACAAATATAAATAGACCTACAAGATCTACTCTCGTAGAAAGAGGTCAGTAATAGATAAATGTATGTAGATCTTGCCAACATCACAAATAACATACAAAGAAATTTGTTAGACTAGGCAAATGGTTTATGCATTTGCAATAATGTTAATGCTACACCTAAAACACATGATTTGTCCAATTTAATATAGCAAAAGCCATTCCTTAAATATCTCATACTAAGTTTTTGCATATTAAGAGAGAAGCTGTTTTTATGTGTTTATTTTAAATCTTCATGTGATTGTAGGAGCCTGTTCTGACACATAATCCATAATTGTCTTTATTGGCGTTTGGATTAAATTCTTCCATTGAGTATTTTTTGCTGATCTTACAATAAATAATCATTGGTCATTTCTATGCTGTATACAAAAATGGATTTTAAAAATCTGTATATTAAAAAGATAAGACAGTTTTGCATATTCCAGAGAAATAAATACACATACACAAATGTATGCACAAACACACATACTGATAACCATTCCTTTCTTTATCATTCCCTTCCAGAATCATAGTGAAAATTGTCATTAGGATGTAACATTATAAAAATAAACACTACAGCTGACTTTTTTGTTTTATAGGATTTGTTGAACTACAAGTTGAAGAACAGGATATAGTTGATAGCTTTGGAACAATTCCATTTCTTGATTATAAACATTTTGTTCTTAGGACATTTTTCCCAGAGGTAAATGATTATTTGTCTACAACAAACAAGTAATTGAAATAATGTATTTCAATTTATTAAATGTAATCTGCCCAACTCCATTACAACTCTAGATGATGTATAGAATCATTTTTTTCAAAAATAAAATAGACTGTACAACACAAAAATAACATCTGGAAAAAAAACAATCAACGTTTCACAACTCAGATAGTTGATAAGGATCTTTGAATCTTATTATTTTAAAATGCCAAAGATCATTCAGTTTGTAACTGAAAAAGTTTTTCTAATTTATCAATCCATTTACAAAGTATCATCTTCCTTTAATGTGATGGAATATGAAGATAATAAAAATAGATGTGAATTTCAGGGTTCCTTCCCAACATATGCAAATCTTTGGTATTTAAAAAAAGGACAAATATTGCAGTGTTTTAGATCAGAGGTCTCCAAACTTTAAGACTTATGGACTTCAACTCCCAGAGTTCCCTGGCCAGTCTTAAAATTGCTAAGTTCTTGTTTATTTCTTCATATATATTTTTTTGAATAATGAGAACTTTCCAGAATAACCTGGTGCACTCACACTATCAGTTTCCATCCTCTGTGGATGTAGTGTGAGTAAGAGGGGTTTCAGATGAAAAATATTTCAGCTTTGAACCAGCATTAGTTTTGTTTTTCTTTTCTTAAGAAATTATTTCTGAACATGTGAGCTGTGGTGGCACAGTGGTTAGAGTGCAGTACTGCAGGCTACTTCTGCTGACTGCCGGCTGACTGCAATTTGGCAGAGAGAATCTCACCAGGCTCAAGATGAGACTCAGCCTTCTATGCTTCCGAGGTGGATAAAATAAGGACCCAGATTGTTGGGGGCAATATGCTGACTCTGTAAACCACTTAGAGAGGGCTGTAAAAGCAACTGTAAAGTGATATATAAGTCTAAGTGCTATGTAGTTTTCAGTATGCAGCTAATTTATAAGCCCATATTTTCTAATAATTTTCACATCACTTTCGTTTGTAGTTTAGAGGAGGAACATTCAGAACATGTCATTATACCTCATCAAAATCAGCATCATCTTTATATTTATGCTGCAAATGTTTAGAAACATGTTTATTGTTGTATTCACATTTTTTTGTTTAGGCTAAAGATATTTCATCTATATTTATTGACGACTCCAATGAATCACTAGTAAGTATAAATATCTATAGTTTTCATTCTTTTAAGTTTGTTGTGCTTTTAAAAATATTTCTAAAATTTTAGATTTTTTTTACAGAATTTAGAAATATAGCATATCCAAACTGGGACAGATATTGGAAAAACTCTGAAAAGTTTTACTCACAGGAATAATGTGTTCCTTTATCTGCCTCCTTTGTATTTCGTATAACATCAATATCTGTAGCAGGATTTCTAATTATCAAATTATGATTTTTACATTTTTAAGAATTAAATAAATACAACATTAAAAATAGGTGAACAATAATGTGATTTATGTCTTTCATTTCTTTCAGAGCAAAGATCAGGGTCTATATGCATTAATTTGTAACAAAAAATTTCTTGTTACTCTGATTCACATTCTTGAAAAACAGAAAACCTTTGATGTAAAAGATAGGTATGCTACAAAATTTAAATTCTTCAAGTTGTATAAAACTGGGGACAAAAGACACCAAATTGTCATTTTTTTTGTTAAAATAGTCAAAATATACTTGCTGATTTCTTCACTTTTTGAATAGTCAAAATTAGTTCTTCTCATCTTGAATAGAATATGTCACCCTGGGTTATGATAAGACATATAAGTCTTATCAATCAATACTTTCACTTTAATCTAGCCTTTGCATTTGGAAGATTTTGTGAATATTTCCCAACTGAAACAGATGGAGAAATAAGAAATTTATATTATTCATAATAAATCCATTTTTTATTCAGATGTGGAAAAGTTAGGGTGAGGTTAATTTTATGTTGCATCATTTGTATAATTTGAGCCATTAGGTGAATGAAGAATAACCAATTTTATTTTCTGAACAATACACAGGTATTTATTTATTAGCATTAGTTTTATGCTTCTGGTCCTTTTCTTCACCTGTAAAATGGCTAACAGAGTTTACATTCATGATATTCAGATTCTTAACTTTCCAAACAGTACAGATTTTTTTTCATATTTCTAGCCTTAATTGTTGATCTTGCCAAAAATGCTCTGCTCTTAGATGTACCAGAGTACCTTTGATTATCAATAAACAGATTATCTATCTGTTAAATAGACCCTTTATATTTAGTAGTTCCAGAAATAATCTCATGTTTTTGTATGGCACATGACAAGATGTGGGTGAGTTTGGATCAAGCTTGTGCTGTTATTATATGGTAATAATTTAGATTCCTAACATGCAGAGTTATTGTTAACCTGTTTTTTTTTCTTTTTCAACAGATGCTTGTTTGCATCTTTTTTAACAATTGCACTACAGACAAATCTAGTCTATTTAACTAATATTCTAGAAGTTTTGACAAAAGATTTGATGGAGCAGTCTAGCAATATACAACCTAAGCTGATGCTGAGGCGCACAGAATCAGTAGTAGAAAAACTGCTTACAAACTGGATGTCAGTTTGCCTTTCTGGTTTTCTTCGGGCAAGTATTATGTATTATATGTTTTTACTATATTACATCAGTGAGCAAGAGACTAATTAATTTGCAGGCAGATTTTCCTGCTCACATTTCCCACACTTGGTCTTCTAGCAGTGTTGATCACCCAGTCACCGGTGATCACTGGTGGGATGCTGCCGGTTTAACACGCATGTTGCCTAAGGTGCTTGCACATAGCACTGAAAATGGAGCATTTAGAAGCTCAGCTGCTTACTTTCCAAGTCAACAGTGATAAGTAGAACAGTGAGGGGTGGGAAATCAGCTGTGCTGTGCGACTGAGATGAGCTACAAAGCAGGAAATAAAGGACAGGGGCAGGTGGGCGGGACAAGTAGTTTCATCAAAACTACCAGTTTGCCTGAACTGGTCTGAACCGGCAGCATCCCACCCCAGTCTTGCTTTATTTTGACACTGTGGACTACAGGCACAAGCTCAACAGACAGCCTCTTATTTTAATTAAATTTCATAATTTCAAATTTCATAAACCTGGTGTTCTGAATGCATTAAATAAATTCACACTGATACATGAGGCATAAGTAATCTATTACTTTAAACATTCCTGAATATTTCCTGCAGAAGCCACTTTGGCATGAGAGAAAAAATCTGACCAACTGCATGTTAATTTAATTCATTAGATATCATATTCGTTACAGCTTTTCAGCATTCATGTGCCAAATATAGACGCAAAGAAATAGTTTGGTTTCCAGGTTTTGTGTGAATTGAGAATGCATATTTTTCAAAACAGATTTGAACTACAACTGGGGCATACTTAGTGCTTCCCTTTTCCTTCTTTTTTCACACTATGTTCATTAAACAATTGCAAATAAATGCTGCAAAAGACAATAACTGTCTTTCATTTTCTTTCATAGGAAACAGTTGGGGAACCATTCTTTTTACTTGTAACAACTTTAAATCAAAGGATTATCAAGGGTCCTGTGGATGTAATATCTTGCAAGGCCTTATACACTCTAAATGAAGACTGGTTACTGTGGCAAGCACCTGAATTCAGCACAGTGGTATGTTACCTAATGACTTTATGACTGAAACCAGGACAGTTTGTATAAAAAAAAGCATATATTCCAATAATGCTTTGCATAATGTATTTTAAAAATCAAGGTTCGGTGCCAAGAAAGGCTGACTCTTTAACTTAATTTAATTTACAGATGTTTAATATGCCTTAGTATCTATTCATCTAGCTTTGGAAATTGGCAAAGAATTATTCCTATTATTTTTATATTTTTGTTGAAGATAAATTAGCCCCAGAAAATTAAAAACAGTTCCATCCAATAAAAATTCATCCAAGTATTTGTTTCATCTTTTCAATCCTGTCTTTGTGGTACTAAGTATCTCAACACAATCAACGCATGGCTGTATATCTAGGTCAGAAGTAGCGTAAAGCTCCGTGGAATCATTTTATCATTCTATTTCTGAAACTAGGCTTAGTGGTTTGCACCACCCACAAATCAGTCATTTCAACAGGAAGCAACTTTCAAAATATGTACATAATACCATTCCCTTCTTATTAAGGATGCAGGGTTGCATGTTATTCATGAATTAGACTATACAAGTAGTTGTCGACATACAACAGTTCATTTAGTGACTGTTTAACATTACTATGGCACTGAAAAAAGTGTCTACATTTATCTCTGTGAATGATAAGAGGGAAAGCATAGTATTGGAAATTAAAGAAGAAGAGCTATTTACGTGTCTCCGTGATTTTTATGGTGTTATAAACAATGTTCTTCCAATATGCTCAAGATGATCTAAGTAGTTTGGAGCTGTGGGAGAATCCAAAAACTATTCTGATAGTTTGTTCCAACTCAGTTGTACTACCTGATGCTCATTTTGTCCATGTAGAAAAGATCAGGTACAGAAAGGTTTGACAGGATAGTGTGGAACTAACCTCATTCTTTAGCCCTGGAAATATCCATTATCAAATGCTATGGGTTTTTTGTGCAATTGCTTTTCTAAACCACTTATTAAGCACAAAGGAAAAGAAAGTGAGACAAGGGAAGAGCAGGTTTGTATTTGTACAGCCTAAGGCCAAGTTGTAGATGGGCAGCATGATCAGAATCCTAAAAAGCCCATGGATTACTTCCTATGTATCTGTAAAAAGCCCTGGTGATTGTTTTTTCTTTAGCTATAGATTTGAGAACATAATAAAGCAAATCTCAGCAAATTGTCATCTGTTACCTTGAATTACTGAAATTCAGGGTAATAAGTACTATGCTAAATAAACACTACGGGATATAAATACTACTCCCAAAACTTGGAGATGGTGAATATTATGGAGTTTATCTTACAAAATCTAGACTGGACCATATAGGAAAAAGAATGGCAGAGAATGACTTATGGCAAGAGGAAGACCCTTGCCAGAATGAAAACATTGGACAAGCAGTGATAGGACATAGAAGTCATAAAGAAAGAAAACAGGGAAAGGTTTGTGTGAAGGTTGTTCATTGTGTATGTATCTGAGTGAAGCAGAATGTGCATTTGGAGTTTCATCCAAGAGAAACAAAAATGATGTATGATAATATTTTAGAAATCGGTGAATGCCATCATGAATACTGTTAGGTATTCCTAATAATCCTTATGTGTATTTTCTATCCAATTTCAACTTTTAAGTCACTTTGAATAAACATTCACACTCTTCCAGGTATTAAATGTTGTCTTTGAAAATATGCAAGGAAATGAGGCCAATGGCGCTGCTCAGAATATCCAAGTTAAAATATTGGATTGTGACACCATTGGACAGGCCAAAGAGAAGATCCTACAGGCCTTTCTGAACAAGAACGGATCCCTCTATGGTCTCCAGCTAAGAGAAATGGGCCTGAGTAAGATATTGATAATGCTATACTAGTTATAAATTCAAAACTAGCTGTTAGTTTTTCTTTCTTCACAACTGTATAATTGTTTTTATTATTTACTTTTAATTGTATGGTTTGCATTTTTTAAAAACTAAACATTATTATGTCTTTGCTACTTAACATAGGAATTATAAGATTAACTATTGGAGTTATTTAGAATAATTTAGTACCTGAATATGTCTTGGGTTATTTTGTGGCTTTTTGCTGAAAAGACACAATAGAAATGCGACCATTATATCTTTGCTCCACAAGCTACATTGCTCTCAGAGTGCTTTCAGGTACAATTCAAGGTGCTGATTGTCATCTATAACAAGTGTGTCTGGGGATGGGGGCTATATAAATTGAACAAACAAACAGAACTCTCCACAGCCTGGGTCTTTATTTGTAGAACTGCAAATAAAGTCCCCAGTTGTTTCCATCTGTCCTGTCTGGCAGGAGGTGTGTGTTGTGAGTCCCATCAGTTACAGAATGTCATCTTGCAGGACTCAGAAAGTGATCCTTTTCTATTGTAGCCATGGAGATTAAACTGACCATGACCTGGCTGACTTGTCAGAAAGTTTTAAGGCATGGATTTGATTCCAGGCATGGGGGCTGGGAGGTTAGCTGGAGTCCCTAAGGTGTTAGACTTTACTCAGTTATCATGTTAGGATTTAATACATTGTTGGTTCTGAACTTTATTTTGTACTGTATTTTTTTATAAGATACTAGCCATCCAGGTTGTTACAGAGAAATGGAAAGTGATAAAAATCAAATCGAATTGATCCAATCATAAAAATTCTAAATTGCATAAGTGAGCAAGTATGTAGCAATAGGCACAAATAGTGTGTTAGGGCAATGCTACAATTAGTGTAGCAATTTTTGTTGACCTAGAATACGTACTGGCAATATCCCCTTCAGCAGTGACAATAGCACACTCGCATAGTCACTTTGAAGCTTTTCACAAAATTCTTCTGTGATAAAGAATTTGGAGAAAAGTGAAGAAATGAGTAAGGAAGAAATGTGATACAATTGCAAGCAACATCTTTTATGTGAAACATACAAAATAAACAATACTATAGAACAAACATTAACATTTACTAACATAATATACTGCTTTAACTTCACAGGAAAAGGCTGTTCTTACCTTTTTAAAACAAAGCGCAGATTAACTATTTTATTTGTGTTGTCAGCTCTTGAATCAGGTTCCCAAGCAAAAGAACTTCTGGATGTAGATGGTTCCTCCGTGATTTTGGAAAATGGAGTTACTAAGCTGAACACCGTAGGCCATTATGGGGTAAGAATCCACATCCAAATGTGTTGAAAATTTGCCTTTGTTAGGGGAGTATTAGGCAGATGTTAATTTATAACATGCATTTTCATTTTGTTAACATACGGAGCATATGTAAAGAATGACAATTGGATACAGATTTCAGGAAAAGTAAGAAAGATGGCTTTATTGTATGATTTCAGATTTCAGATGGAGCAACAATGAAAGTATTTAAGAAGAAACAAGATATATCAGCTGGTAAAACAAATAACATAATTATATAATATATTGGATTTTTGAAATTTTAAGTTTGTGGTAATTCTTTGAATTATAATTGAATTATAATTCAGAAGTTCATATGAACTGAGAACTGATTTTAGATATACAGTAATATGATAAGAACTAAAATTATTTAACTGAAGAAAAATCAACTATTCTGTTCTCAATACTGGGCAGTTGTATGATTCTAAGAAGCTCATTTGCCCAGTCCAGGATTTCGATTTTCTCCAAATCAAACAATATGTAAGACGTATTGAATACTTCATGCCTTGCAAAAATCAACTAATAGAAGTCTTGAAAACCCAATTTTGAAAAACTAATTCAAAACCAATTGAGAAAACATTTACTTCCTCCAGATGTTGGGATTACTGTTTTCTGATATTTCTAAGCAAGCATCTATTTCCACTTAAGTATTAATTGTACCAGTTAATAGAAAGGACTACCATGATTAAAGATAGCATCTAAATTGGCAGTAATCTGAATAGGAATAAATTTAACCATGCATGTTTTAGTGTATTTTTCCTGAGCATCAGCCTACTTTCTAGGTCATAGCTTGATCTTTATGTGTGCATTCAGTTTACCCTTTCCCCCCCACTCTTCACATGTTGACCAGATGGAGAATATTCTGAGGACTATTGCCATCTGGTAAGTCAGCTTAATACCTAGTAATTAGTCATTTGTTTAGCTCCTTAATAGCAGCATTTCCATGAACATCTGTGTAAACCTTTCTTATAGATATTACCAGATGCAGAAGCAGCCAAAGAATCACAGAGTGCAAAACATAAAGGAAAACAAAAATTTAAAGTCAAAGAAATGTATCTCACTAAACTTCTCTCTACTAAGGTGACTCTGAGATTTTATTTCTAATCATAAAAGAATGATATAATGCTATAATTATTCAGTGTATATTCTGTTACTTTACAAAATGACTTGCTTGCATATGAAGGCTAAAAAGCATTGGGACAAGGAATATATGACAAGACTTTCTATTTCATATGTAAAGCAACAGCATTTTGGGAATGCTTTATATATACCTGTAATTAAATACTGGTGTCATTAAGTGCATATAATTATGCACTAAATCATGGTTATATGACATCCATTTATATAAGAAGGCTTCCTCTTTGACTTACATGAATTGAGAATCATTGCACGTTATGCATAGAGGAGCTCTAAGAAGGGCTGCATTCATGACTATCAAATGATTGTGAGGATAAAGTGTTTGTGGAAATGGTGATTGAGGAAAAGCACATATATTGTGTCAATCTTCCTACATGGAAGGAGATATGTAAGTGTAATTAGTAAAAATTAATATGTGTCCTTGCATGAAGTTATAGATATGTTAAGCTTAACTGGAGTGTATTGGCTCCAGTCTTATAAATTATTTTAATTTATACCCAAGCAATTTTACACAGACACACACACAGAGAGAGAGAGAGAGAGAGAGAGTAATGAAATGCTTTTTTTGTTTTTGTCACAGGTTGCTATCCACTCAACTGTTGAAAAGCTCTTTAGAAGTATTTGGAATTTGCCCAACAATAAAGCCCCAATTGCTATTAAATATTTTTTTGATTTTCTGGATGCTCAGGCTGAAAATAAAAAAATTACAGATCCTGATGTGGTTCACATATGGAAAACCAACAGGTATTTATGTGCTCACTGTAACTTGGTAGCATATAGAATATTCTTGCTTTTTGGCAGATAAAGTTGTTTGTAGTTCTGGGGGATTATTTGGAGTGAATTTGATTCTGTGATTCCTTAGGAAGTGAACAAGCCTATTAGCTTAGCCATTTGTCTGATAAATCCAGATTCCCCTTCTATGATTAAAGCTTCCCATGAGGTGACTTGTGGTTGGATGTGTGCATTAGTGTTAGCCTTCTTCAGGGGTGGGATGCAAATATTTTTGCTACCAGTTCTGTGGGCATGGTGAGGTGGGAGTAGCTAGGTGGGAGTGGCATGGCTTTTTTTGCAGCACCCCCATCGTGCTCCTTTTTTTCTTTTCTTTTTGCCTCCTGGGCTTCAGGGAAGCCTCCTGGGCGAAGCAGTAAGACAGCAAGGGGGATCCCAGCACAGCTGATCATTGGAACAGATGATTGTTGGGAGAAGAAAAAAGAAATACCATAAGGAGTAACTTGGTGGGGTGGAGCAAGCGGGGAAGAATGCAGTCAGCGATGTCGTGCATGAGCGCGATGTTGCACATGCGCGATAAGGACTGGCTGGGAGGGGAGGGTGGAGAGGGGTGGGGCCAGCCAGGGACACGATTTGCCGGTTCTCTGAACTGTGCAGAATTGTAACAACCAGTATGAACCAGTAGAATCCCACCCCCGGCCTTCTTGAATAAAGGGTGTCCCTTTGGCCTTGAAGGAAGCTATTGTGTGTCCTATCCTCAAGAAACCATTATGGAGTCCAAAAGCCTGGGACAATTATATCTTTTAAAGATGATGATGGAGAAGGTGGTCAAACTTCAGCTTCAGGGGACCCTGGAGGAAACAGTTATTTTGAATCCATTTCAGTCAGTTTTCAGGCGAGAATTTGGTACATACAGAGGTAACATTGGTTGCATTTGTTGATGACTAAGGTGAAGCCAAGACTGAGGTGGTATATTGATCCTGATTTTTTTTTTTTATCAGCAACTTTCAATACCATTGACTATAGTATACTTTCAGGTTGACTCTGGGCCTTGGGTGCAAAGCGTATTTTATAATCTCTTTTCTCTGCAGCTAATATCAACTTATGTTAATTGAGGAGGACTCATTAGGTACTACAGGCTCTCTTCCATTCTATAATACATGAAATTGTCAGGTTTAACATATACATAAAACTGCTGGATAAGGTCAACTGTCAGTTTGGAGTCAGGTATTATCAGTCTGCTAGTAATGTCCAGTTATCTATTGACTCTGGATTGGCAAAGTGACACAGTTAAAGTCCTAGCCTAGTGCCCACAGGCTATATGGGTATGGATGAAGAAAACTGACTCAGTCTCGGTCTTGAGAAAACCAAGTGGCTATGTTTACTCAAGCTCCTCCCTCAATATACTAACTTTCAGTGGGATGTACTTCTTCATTTGAGATGGTGTGCAATTTGGGGTTCCTTCTGGACTTCTGGTTCCTTCTCTCTTCCTGCTTGAAGAGAGTCTAATGCACCAGTTTCCTGAACTATGAAGCCCTTCAGATAGTCACGCACGAACCAGTCATTTCACAGTTAGATTATTATAACAGGCTCTGGACTGGACCACCTTTAAAAACGATCCAGAAGCCACAGCAGTTTCAGAATGCAGCAGCGGAAGAAAGTAGTTGACCTGGCTTAGGCCTGGCTTTCTGAAAGGCTGCTTATCTTCAATTGTTTCTGTCCATCCTGTGTGAACAAGCAAGGTGGGTGCGCTTTGAGCCCCAAAGATTAAACAGTGCCATCTTGTGGGACTGAGGAAGCATGGTTCCTGTTGCAGTGCCTGGGTTTTGGAACATTGTCCCAGTCATTCAGGGAGCTTTTGGAAACTTTTAAAAATCTATGAAATTTTTAAAAAGATGGTTGTTCCCCAGAGCCTTTCTTTATATTAACTGTGTTTGCTGAATAGCTGGATATATTGTTCTCCAGTCAGCCATGGTCCTTTTTTACTTGTATCTCTAATATTACTCTTTTTTTTATTTGTAAGTCATCCAGAATTACAAAGAAATTGAATACATACATGTATGCAGTGGTGGGATTCAGCCGGTTCACATCAATTCAGCCGAACTGGTTATTAACTTTGTGTGCAGTTCGGTGAACTGGCTGAATCATCACGCCTGGCCCCACCTTGTGGCTTGTCCTCCCCCTCCCCTCCTCCCCTTGCCCAACCTCTCCTGAGACCATCTTGGCGCTTCTCTGACCGGCTCCCCTCCCCCCACCAAGCAAGCAACATTGGTGCAGGCAAAACTCCAAGGCAGCTCTGACAAGGCACTCGGAGGGAGGAGCTAGAGATCCTAAACAGGTGGCCAGGCTAAGTGCCTGAAGGACCCCGTCTGTCACCAGTTCTGCCTCAGGGGCAGAGGATGGGGCCTCAGCCAGGGAAAGGTTATTCCCAACTCGCGGGCTGACTGGCTTCTTCCCAGCAGCTCTTTCTCTGCTTTTTGGCATTGGCCACCAAAGACAAGGTTTTTGTGGGCAGAAGAACTTGCCCCACCTGCAACCGCCCAGATCCCCTTGCTTCCCCCAAGCATTCCTTTGCCTACCTGATTCCCAGCTCTTGCCATTGTGTGCAGGGAAACAAATGTTTATGGGACTAAAAAAAATAAAAGTTCAATCAGTCAATTCCAACTTCTATGGTAACCCCCCCTCCTCATTCCTCACCTCTTAAAAGAGCCGCGTCCAGAAGTCTGAAACAGCCACGAGACCAACGTGCAAACAAGCACCCTCAAAACAGCCTTTTGGCAAAGGGTGGAAATTTAACAACCGGTTCGCCCAGGCTCAGGTTGGCTGTCATAGGAGGCTCATCCCACATGTGTGGCAGAGCTGGAGGATGCAGATGGGCCACGCCTCTCATGACAGCCAACCTGACCCTGGACGAACCGATAGTTAAAAGTTTTTAAATCCCACCACTGCATATAAAAATGCATGCACACACACATTACAATTTCAGAAATTATTAGCACTGCAGGGCATGTTGAAAATGTGTCCATCAATTGACAGTAAAATAATTTTTATGTTACTTTTAGTTAGTGTTTTTTACAGTAAATATTTGCTAGATTTTCCATGAAGGATTTGTATTTCATTATTTTAGTATAACTTTTTAAATACCTTTTTTGACTAGTTTGCCTCTTCGATTCTGGGTGAATATTCTGAAGAATCCTCAATTTGTCTTTGATATTAAAAAGACTCCACATATAGATGGCTGCCTGTCAGTCATTGCACAAGCATTTATGGATGCATTTTCTCTATCAGAGCAACAGTTGGGAAAGGTAACGTCTTATTTTTCATGCGTACCAAGAGCCTCTTTTAAAAGTTTCCCAGGAAGGAGGGAGCATATTCAGAATGGGAGGTGTGGAGACAAGAGGCAGCCTGGTCTGGAGCTGGGTAGCAGATAGAGGAAAAGAGTTAGGATAGTCTTTCCCTAGAATCTCCTCTTACTGTATGGTAGTAGTAAGGGTTCAATCTAGCTTGTTTGGTTGTTTGCTTGCAGACGTTTTATTACCCAACTAGGTAACATCGTGAGTACTAATTAGTGTGGATTTTGCAAGCAAATAACTAAGCTCAGAAAGAACCCAAGACTAAAAAGTTGTTCTGTTAAGTTGTCCAGGACTAACTTTCAGATAAGTGAATTAATAGGATTACAATCTTCCAAGCACTGTACTATTCCTATTGAAAATAGTAATTTCATCTGTAAATGTGACTCACTGAAAAAGTATTTCCTGAGCCATGTCCACATTCTTTTGGGAGTATAACTTCATATCTTCTATGTCTATAGTTTTTTAGAATAGCTTCATAATCTGTGCAGAGATATTAGCTTAGGAAGCTCTTACCTGGCTTCTTGGATATGATTTCTGCTAGACCAGGATCACTTGAGGTGCTTGCTAACTAGCCAGTTTGGCCCAGTATGTATGAACAAATTATTAACTTTTCCTAATTACCAGAAAACTGCAATCATTTTGCATGAATTTCTCTAAAACCTTGTGATGATAGTTTTAGCACAAGCAAAGTTTGCTTTTATAAGAAAAGACTCATAGGCAGGAGGCTGCCCAGAGCACAAATGGGGTGTGTGGAATCACACTATCAGGAGTTGGGATCCAATGCAAAAGCCCCTTTTTCTTCTAGGGCTGACCAGCTGCCCTATATTTCTTTTGTGTCCTGAAAAAGACCCCTATGTTAGCTTTGTGAGCTCCCCGATTCTTCTGTCGCTGTTCTTAAGAAAGTTTTGGTGCACCTGGCAAGAACCAGACATATATTTTCCTGCTGTTCTGGCTGGAAGACTATATTCCAATGATGCTGGTGGTCTTGTTGTCTCATAATTAACTTTTCCTAAAATTTAGTGCTCAGAGATTTCAGGGAATGGTTGTAAACCTGCAAATAGTCTATTAGGTCCACCAAGATAGCCTGACATGACTGATGACCAGAACCGATTGTTCCCTAATTTAGACAACAGGGGTGGGGGGTGGTTCACTAACAAATGAGGCCTCTTGCTAACTTTTATGGTGTCTTTTCTTCTTCCTCCTCAAAGGAAGCACCAACAAATAAACTTCTGTATGCTAAGGATATACCACTTTATAAAGAGGAAGTTAAAGCTTTCTATAAAGCAATAAGGGATTTGCCTCCACTGCCCAGAGCAGAGCTGGAAGAATTTTTAATTCTGGAATCACAGGTATCTGTCTATTATTTCTGCTGTAGTTGGAACTTAAAAATATATTGTAAATGGAGTTGTGTCTTAATGTATTTAAAGGACAGTTCCCATTAATGGATTTATTCAGAAACATATCAAAGGTTCCAGTAATATTTTCCTTTATCTTTCAATGTTTACTTGTAATTCTTTTTACCATTTTATGTACTATGGATAGTAGTGGTATCTTTAAATATAAACAGTTCCTCAAACTTCATTTTTTTTATAGAAACATGAAAATGAATTTAATGAGGCTGAGGCCTTGAATAAAATTTACTCCTATATAACAAGATACTTTGATAAGGTAAGAGCCCCCCCCCTCCCTAATCTAGACTGGCTGTTGTGGACTACTGAATGGCATAGCCATAGAATGTCCAGGAACATTCCAATTAGGGAAGAAAGTGGTTACTGTATTAGCACATGATATACATGGGCAATTTTCAACTCTAAAATCCCTGTTTGGCCCCACGTGTGCACTGGCACTCCTCCAATACTTATCTCTGCCCTTCTAGTTAGGACAGGGGAAGGGGAGAGGAACTGGACAGAAACTAATTGGAAGTGAATAAACTGTCCCTTAAGGACTAATAACTCATATGGATTAATGACCTTGAAGCAATAGGTTGTGATCCTTTTTATAATGACTGAATCCCTATACCCTATTTCTATATCTACATATATTCCTATTCTACTATTCTATCCTTCCCTACCCTACCCTACCCTACCCTATCCTACCCTACTTTCTATTCTACCCCAGGCACCTTGCATTTTATTCTTAAGGCCAGTGCTGTTTCCTACTGACAATATAGCACTGTTTTTCACAGGCTGACTAATAAGATCGTCTGGCTGGCAGGGGGGTGGGGGGTAGTAACCTGTAGTTTGGCAAAGCCATGCACAGCAAAAGTGTTACCCACCCCTTTTCTAAGATTTAATAAGAGCCAAAAATTAATTTAGGAGAATCCAGAGTTCCTTTAGATTTTGCATTCTTTGTCCCCTGGCCTTTGCTGTCTTCTTTCTCTTGTGCAAGCCTTTGGAAACAAATCTTATTTTTATGGAAAACTGTGATTTCTATAAATAAAATATAGAAGTCAATGCATGTGAGGTAGATTAACTAGACTGACTTAATCTAGTTAGTTTCCAATCACATTTTTTTTTCATGATCTCAAAAACATGTTATTTCTGGCTGGCAGGTAATGAAAATATTTTAGTGCTCAATATTTAGACTTGAATAGTTGATTCCTGTTGATTATTGAAGTTGGAATTTTTCTGCTTTTAGCAGATATACAACATGAATCTATTGCTATTTGAGTTGTATTTACAGAAACACTTGTGACTTTAATTGCTAGTGCCGACAGAAGTGTTCATCTTGTGATTAATAATAACTTGCAAAGGAAGATGCAAAAATAGCCTGGCTTTAGAAGGAACCGTTACTTAAGCAGAGCTTACTTTTTAACATTGGGTTGGGGGAAATGTTTTTTTTTTAATAAGCAAAATAAATATACATTCCTTTGTTCTCATAGATACTGAATAAATTAGAGACAGAACGAGGGTTGGAAGAAGCCCAACAGCAACTCTTAAATATAAAAGGCTTAATGGATGAAAAGAAAAAATGCAAATGGGTGTAGTCATTTAATTTTATAATTGCTGCTGTTATGGAACCAAATTCAAAATATTGGCCAACTAGTTCTATTCACACAAAATCAGCAACGGATGCCCTCAGATCGGAACAGTCATCTCCAGATGTGTCAACAAAGTGGAGCCTGGACTGAGACATATACCTGCCTGCCTCTGGCATCTGAAGGAATCCCACTATGCAGATCTTCCCTTCTAGATTGATACAATCAAGTAATTTTTGGTTTATTTTTTTGCATTAAAAACCATCTGAAATGCAGTTCTTATATAAACAAACTGGTTATGTTATCGTTCACAACTTTGTCTAATTTCGATGCTGTTACTGAGCAGCAATTTATGTGCCTTAAAAGACCTCTCAGTTGGTTTCTGATAAGCACAAATATATCCCCTTGTTATTCATAGTCTGAGCGTCAAAATTAGAGAGCTTTCAACTGCTACATGGCTGTATAATGAAGTGCAGATTTTCAACCTCCCCCAAATAGTTGCACATTGTGGCACAACTGAAAGTGATGTGGGACTGAAATAGAGGGGAAGATTACCACCCAGCACATTGATACAGCTATGCAATTCACCTCTTGATAAAGTGGGTTTATTATCCAGCTCTACCACTGAAGATGTCACTGACGCATCCATGTAAGTTTCTTGGCATGATAATGGAAGTGGTTTGCAAAAGGCAGTTTCCCTGTTTTCAGAACACAAACTTACACTTTGAAATTCTTCCATCACTGTATCTGCACTTTTTAAAAATGGAGCTGGTGGCCTTTCCTATCTGTATTTTCATTAGTATATACATGCATTGTAAATATAAGGGCAAAAATAAAAATTACAAAGGGGTTTTTTTTAACAACTGAAGATTCATAAATGTATCATAATTTTATTATTGAGTAGTTTATTATATAAAGTAAATGTGGATGAGGGCATCACGTAGATTTAGGCTCTTCCTCAGCTTCTATGCCTTCCCTTGCGATTGGAATACCAATTTTCTCAGCTATATTTTATAGGGCCTGCAGTGCCTGCATTTGAAGGCAAAACCATATTGTCTGCAACTCCTTCAGGAAGTTGTATCTTTTCCTGGGATTGGGCTGGTTCACCAAAGTTATAGCAGAATCCCAGGAATAGGTTTGGTATAAAGAGTGCTATGTACATACCCTAAAGCCTGGGTGTCAAACTTGCGACACCATATCATCACGTGATGTATCATGACTTTTTCCCCCTTTGCTAACCCGGGGGTGGGCATGCCCAGCATGAGACACATCCAGCCCAGGGGCTGCTAGTTTGACACCCCTACTCTAAAGTGTCTCCTAGATTTCAAATATGAAGCACTGCTGTGTTCTAATATTTAGAGTTTATTTGTTGCCTATCACATCCTGCTCAGATTAATATTTACAGGGAACACATCAGCAGATGTTTGCATGTGCTGTATCAATTTTTAAATTTTTAAACAAAAAAACTTAAAAGTGCCTCAACAAATTGCAGGTTTTGGTCCCACTACTTCTTGCTAGGAAAATTCTAACGGCATTGGAAAGATTAACTAGCCATTATAGGCTGAGGATTCTTTAGGGCGAACTTGCCCAACCTTGGCAATTTTTAGACGTAGATTCCAACTCCCAGAATTCCCAAGATGTGTTTCACTACAGGGGTCCCCAACTCCAGGCTGCAGACTAGTACCAGTCCATAGCCCTTTGGAAACTGGGTCATGCAAGCAGTAGGTGAGCACATAAAGCTCTATTTGTGCATGCAAAGAATTACGTTGTGCACATGAAACCCTCCCAGCCTGCCACTGCCGGTCTGTGAAACCAAAAACGTTGAGATCACTGTTCTAATAGATAGGAAAATGGAGGGAAGAGCCATTCCCACACTGTTTCTTCTAAGGTGTAGATAGGTAGAGAAGAAACCTGTATATTTTTCATTGAATACATCTATGTAAAAATAAAAAAGCAAAGCACTAAGGCTGCTTTGTTTTTTCTTTTTTTCAGAAAATGTTTTACAATCATGTGGAAAGTAGATTTTAAAAAATTAAAAGAATATTATACACAAGGTGACATATTTACCAATAGATGCTGAACATTTCCCTCCCTAAATAATTACCTGTTAATGAGTAACATAGGAATGAGCAAAGCAGACAACTGAATGTTACACAGCATGGATGTCTCTAAAGGTCAGACCAGAGCTTCCTAAACTAAATCTGTTCAGAAATGATACAATGTATTTGTATGTTCCCATCCCCCACACAATTAAAATGAATGATTATAATGGGATCCAACTTGGGCAAGAAATAACTATACATTTTCAAAAATTAGCATTTAGTTTTTATATCCAATAAAACCATAATAAAGCTATACAAGGGAATTTCTTTGTAAATAAGCAATTCCTCCCTCCCCATATTTAAAACTGTATTTTTAATGGAAAAGGGAAGGACATGCTGACTTTAGTTCCTGAATTCGAGTTTCATTTTGAAGAGTTACTGTTATGCAGCAGAGTCAGGAAGGAAAGGGGGCGAAGGTGCCTCTAAACCAGCTTGAGTTAAACACTTGCACAACACTGACAGATGTTGCTTTCAGAATATCTGCCAGTTATTGCCCAGGCCCAAGGGCTGCTCTTTTGAAGGGCAAAATGGTGATGATGGTGCTTGTGAAAGAAAAAAATATATGAAAAAGACCACTCAGGCTTATTTGACAGGCATTATAGAATTGCTTTGCTTTCAGTAACTGTTAAACCTACTCAAAAAAGGAGCAGCAAGGAAGGTACTCAGAATGGGATTTCCCCAAAATTAACCCTTTTTAAATACCTAAACAGGATCCCCCCCTTCTTTCTTCCCTTTTTCATCCTAATTCATGATTTCTGTTCAGTTGTTTTCCTCCTGTTCTTTTTCTCCCCAAACAGCCACTCTTTCTTGAATTGTCATGCTGATGTTTTTTTTAAAAAATGTTCCATTTCCACTGGGGAATGTGTGTGTGTATATATATATATATATATATTTCTCTGCGTAAAAGTGGTTTGTGCATGCAGAAAGGATCAGTATTGTAAGTGGAGCACTTTATTTCATTTTGATCAGTAGTTACTAAATTAATACATTCGGGACCAGGGATTATACTCATTTAAGGGGAAAATAATTTCCAATAAGCATATAGATATAGAGGCATAGGGTGGGAAGGGGAATGTCTGGAACTGGATTTTAAAGTTATTTGAAAATTGCAATGTATTTATTGCATATTGCATTATTGAGAGGAACTACTGAAATAAAATATTTCTGACAATCTCTGGAAACAAGCCAAATTTTAGCATTCCTACTATAAATGTGTAAAACAATTAAAATTTTATAGATGCATATAATTCCAATCTATTAGACTTAAAGTAACTGTTTACAAGTATAAATGGAGTTGGAAAATGTATTGTATGAATATGTAAAATATTTCATTTCATACATATAAACTGTGATGTTTGTTTTTGTTTGATTTGAAATTTTAGTATATGTTCCAGTTTTTCAAGAAATCAATGTGAAAACAAGTATAGCATTTTTAAATGGGCAAATAGTTTAGAAGGGTTTTTTTTTTTTTACAGAAATCAGTTTTATTCCAGAATTATAATTTTCAAACCTGGAAAAAAAATAAAGTTCAAAACTTCAATCAGCCAGAATGATATTTGTGTACTTATTGCCAGAGAACTTTGTGTTCTCACTAGAGCTGACAATTGTTTTTTTTTAAAAAAAAAACAAAACAGAAAGTTAGCCCATTAGATTTGTATTAAAATTGAAGATTTACAGTTCTTAAGTTTGAAGAGAATGGAGGCCAACTGAATTCCAATATGAGCCAGACAGCAAAAAGGTCTTTCCAGCAATTTAGCACCCGGCAAAGTTTGTAAGGAAGGTGATCCATCAGAAGCTCAGACCCTAAGCTATTTAGAACATAAACAATAATACTACTATCAATTCTGCCTGTACCTTAAATTTTTTTGGTTCCTGTATCTTGAATTATCTATGTGCCAAATTGTGCAATTGCTTCATCTATGCACCTTTTCAAGGAAAATCCTATAATGTTGGGATCAAGGTGCTGACCAAAGGTGGATAGCTCATGAATGGACATAAGCATCACAGTATAATTGGGCAAATTCAGCCCTCACTTAGGAATCTAGTAATATCCAAACCACCTTTTGGGGGATTGTAAACCTATACAAATACTGAATCTGGTTTTATATTTTCAGTAGCATGAATCATGACTGAATATATATGTTCAGCTTAATGTCCATCATTAAACTGATTACATGTTTATTTATTTAGTATATAGATAGCATAGAGGAGCCTTGGTGGCACAGTAGTTAGAGTGCAGTACTGCAAGCTACTCCTACTGCAATTTGGCAGATCGAATCCCACCAGGCTCAAGGTTGACTCAGCCTTCCATAGTTCCACAGGAAAGTTGGTCAGAATTGATGGCAAGATGAATGCAGTATGTTATCAAAAGATACTGGAGAAAAATTTGCATTCATCAGCCCGGAAGCTGCACATGGGACATACTTGTACATTCCAACATGACAATGATCCAAAACACAAGGCCAAGTCGACCTGTCATTGGCTATAGTAGAATAAATTGAAGGTTCTGGAGTGGCCATGTCAGTCTCCTGACCTCAATATCATTGAGCCACTCTGAGGAGATCTCAAATGTGCATTTCATGAAAAACAACCCAAGAATTTACAGGAACTGGAGGCTTTCTGCCAGAAAGAATGGGCAGTTTTACCATCTGAGAAGATAAAGAGCCTCATCCACACATACCACAAAAGACTTCAAGCTGTCATTGATGTTAAAGGGGGCAATGCACTGTATTAAGAACTGGGGTATGTAAACTTTTGATCAGGGTAGTTTGGGTAGTTTCTGTTGTCATTATGATTTAAAAAGAGTAAACACAGTTGATCGATAATAAATGGCTTCAACCAAACACTAACCATGAGTGAAAGAAACATTTTTGTGTTATCATTCATTTTCTCTGAAAAATGGCAAAGAAATCATAAATTCTGCCAGAGTATGTTAACTTATGAGCACAACTGTACATGTTATAAATGAATGTAATAAATAAATATATCTAAGGCCATTACAGCTAGCTCAAGAAAAGTCAGTGGTGGAAGCACATGAACTGTCCCCATACACTGTTTTCTTATCAAATTTGCTGATTAGCCTACTGGAGATATGAGTCCTAACTCTTCAAGTTTCAGTGATATGTCAGCTCAACAGCCATTCAGAATTAAATGCTAGTTAGCAGATGTTTCACTACCAACTAACTTAACACTTATGAACTGGCAATAAAAATAGTCTTCACCTATATATCAATCCTAAAAAAAGTAAAAGTAGCAGAATCACTTAAATTTGTTGGACAGTGGAATACTTCTATTCTGTCATCAAATCCCTGAAGAAATGGCAGAATCTGAGCTGCAGAAGTTTTTTTATTATTGTTATTGTTGTTGTTGAGATGATTTGTCCATTTTTAGGCTTGTTTACTGACTTACCGGAAACTGCTCAAAACAAATTAATAAAATGCTTTAGAAATTGTTTTGTAGCTTACCTTATTAAAAGTTAAGAAACTGTAGAATAAAAACAATCCACTAATTTCAAAATTATGTTTTTATGGCTGTTAAATAATTAAATAAACACAGAGAAGATAATTTTACAAAAATATATTATAGATTTGATTAGTTAACAAAACTTTGATCTGAAACACACACATTTTTGCATGTAGGTAAACAACATTCATATTCACTTAAAATGTGATTATTTTTCTTGATATTTCATAATATATTAAAGTGCAGATAGCAAAATATTTTTCAAAGGTAAAATTGTGGACAAAATTCATATGATAACAGACCTCAAACAATGTTGTTTTCCATTTTCTCAGTATTTTATTATTAGCTGTTATTCAGCTTGGTGAATAACAAAAAATGGAAATTTTTTATAAAATTTGAGAAAAGTACTGTTAGCAAAACATTACAGTGCAACATGATTCTTAGAGTGTAAAATCAGAAAATTATTTTCCAAATATTTCAATTATAATTTTTTTTAAAAAGTATTAAAAATAATACAAATGATGTAAAACAGAGCTTTTACCTATTTCACGGCACTTGTAGATGAATTTTTGGCAAAAGATGAAAAATGTTTAATGGTTTATTTGGCATCTCCAGATGACAGATCATATTGTTCCACAAACTTATTTCTGTCTGATTCAGTACTTATTTCCGACTGAGGTCGTTCAGTAGAAGCACCAAGTTCTCGCAGTTGCTTTCTCTGTGTGGTCTCTAGTTCTTCCAAACGTTTACGAAGCAGTGAAAGTTCTCTTTGATGTTGCTCCTCCTTCATAAGAGATAAAGGAGATGGGTAGAGGGAATGTAGTACATTATTTAACACTTTCATTTTTAAAGATATTGTAGAACCATAGAAGATTCAGGCTACTGGTTCTGGCTTTTAATAATATGTTCTGATTGTAACCAAAAACAGTACTTTAATACCATGGAGACAATAAAGATGCCTATATTGATTTATAGGAACTTGCTTGTAACTAGAGGAATTAAGAGAATATTACATAGCTTATCTAAAAGTTTAGATAACCGTCACTGTAAAAATCATACAGAAATTGTAAGATTTTAACCAAAATCAATAGAATTAAAGAAATGGCATTACTACTTTTCTGCATAATTAAGGTTAGGATTTGTGTATCATATAACTTTTGGTTCAACATGGTAATGTTCAAAATGGCAACATCTTAGCTGCAAAAATGGCAGCATCTTAGCTGCAAAATGGCAGTCACAAATAAAATTCTCAGTTCTCTTTCAATACTAGGATATTGTTTCGTTAAATTTTATTACTGAAAAATAGAAACTTTATTTTGTATGCTTTTTGAAACACTATTACCTACTCTGTCATATGGGAATATTACATACCTGAAGGAGAGGGAAGGGTAATTCTGGCCCAGGAATCAAAGATGAAGATAATAAATTAGCTGGATTCAGTATTGGGATGTTGGGAAAAAGGATCAGTCTGCGGAACTCATTATGTCTCCGTTGCAGATCTTTTAATCTTTTCTGAAGACGGAGCTGTTCTTCAAAAGGAATATTTTGCCTATAACAAATATATATAACTAAATAAAAATTATTTTCCTACTAATATTTTCCTTGAAGCGCAGAGCTGACCCATTGATTGTGGTAGGAATTGATAACTTGTCACCCATACATATCTGACACTGTGGCCCAAAGTCACCCAGCCAGTTTTCTTTTGTTTTCTTTTTTTGTATATATTTTTTATTTTTAAATGTACATCAACATCAATATATGAACAGTGTGGTATCTGGGTATCATTCATTTTGATATAAATTGCAGTAATAATGTTAATAATATTTATTACATTAGTCAAACTTATGTAATCCTAGTATTAATACACACGTTTGTTTTAAACTAATTATTCAGTGTTTCAATGTGCCATTCTAATGTTAATCACAATATTATTTGAGCATGCATAGTAATGCCTTCTTTCAACCTCTAATCTCTTCATATAATTATTTCTTTTATGTTAATATTCCATTATTTCTACCTCTATTCTAGCTTCTAATCAGGCTACTATTACTAATGCTAGTGTTAATACATATTTTTAGTGAGACATAATACTTATTTAGTTATTCAATGTTTCAATGCACCATTCTAGTGCCAATTACCATATTATTTAAACATACATAATAATACCATCTTTCAACCTCAAATCTTTCCATCTAGCTATTGCTTTATATAAAAGTGTGTATTCTTATTTCTACCTTTATTCTAGTTTTTAATCAGGCCAACATTATGTTAAAATATTTTTACTTTCTATCCATCATCTTGTCAGTTTTAATACTTTAATTCTTATTCGTTTTTTTAGCTTCCCTCTCATACTCTTCTCTTGGATCTTTATCTCTATCTACATTTATATCTTTACTATTCAGTCTAAATATTTCTCCCCTCTCTATCCTTCTATGCTTCCACACCTCCAGAGTGTCTGCCCAAGCCCTTATCTCCCTTTCAAAAGTATCTTCCTGCTTATCTAATTCCGTTTTTATATCTCTTAAAGTACTTTTCCCTTGATTTATTTCATCAGTCATTATTTTTATTCTCTTCTCCTTTTCATCTTCTTGCTTTATTTGCTGATTTGTCTGTTCTATCTTTTCCTCCATTCTTTCTGTTGTTTCTTGTTTCCTCTCTTTCCTGGGGTTTTTGATCTTCATTTATTATCACTTGTAGAGTATTTTCTGTTTTCCCATTTATGCCATGCAATACGTTCTATATCTCCCTGTGATTCTTTGTCATAGTATCATTAATGCTTTGGAACATCAACACCATTTCTTTTAAAATTTCACTCATTTCCCCGATGGAGTATCTTGTCTTATTTTAGTAAGTCCCACTCTTGCACAATAGTCCAAAAACAATATATTCAAGCCTAATGTTGCTCCTCAGAAAGTAAAATAACCATAGTTCTTTATATCCCAAGATTGTTTAATCAATTCCAATTAAATAGTCCAAGAAGTTTTCCAAATATCTCCTTCAGTCCACTCTGTAAGTTCAAACATATATCTTCACATTCAAAAGTTGCGTTACTTACTTGGACTTCC